TATATATATATATATAATATATATATAAATATATATATGTATTATATTGTAATATATATATGAAGAAAACACTAGATCATTCCATGAAGATAGAGAAAAATATATGTGTATAAAATTGAATAAGGGTCACTTTGGTTGTTGTCTGCAAATAGCCATTTGTTGTGAGCGGATGAAGACATGTTCTCTAAAGATCGCAAAATTAAAATTAATCGCCGTATTTTTCTCTTCTCTCTTTCTCGTCTCTCTCGTCTCTCTCTTCCTCCTCTCTCTCTCTCTCTCTCTCTCTCTCTCTATCATAGTATATATACTAATTATATCCGCTTGATTCTTGTCTGCTTATTTGATGCCAGAGGTACATTGACAACACTACTATTGTGTCTTCACAGCTTCAGCAGAGCGCACTCATCTATCAACTCGGTGTCAGAGAAAGCTTCGGAAATAAGGACAACATCTTGATCTACAACATGCACGATGAACAACCGCATGACGTCAGCACGACCATGCCGTTCAAGGTAAAAACCTTTTCTATATAATGATTATTGATAATGATAATATGTTAATGATATTAATGATATTGATTATAATAAAATGTCGTCGTGATTTTTCTGCGTATAAATATTATGAATATTAGTAATATTAAGTAAACCCCAAATCTCTGAGGTGATAAGGTTGTTTTCAAACTAGTTGTGAATCAAAACTTTGGTTTAATAAAAATCATTGCGCACACTGTGTGGTATATGAGGCATTTATGAGTCGTAATGATTTGTCTGCGTCGATAAAAATAGCAAAATATATTACTTTGAAGGTTTATATAAATTAGGTTTATATTTTGGATAGAGCCTGGTTTTAGTTTGGGAACAGATTGAGTTGTTAAACTTACAAATTTTAATATACACTTTTATCCAACCGATAGCACAAGCCTTGAACTTTCTGCCAGCTGGTCATACGTGTGTTCTTCTTTGAGTTTGAACTTAGAGTTTTCTCTGGCCTCACAGATGGCGTGTCTAAGTATTGAGAATTCACTAAAAAACACTCAGATGCCATGTATAGCAAACCCTAGATGACCTGTCCTACATACAACTTATCTCTGTGAGCAGGTTGCCTTCCTAACCTACGTAACCTGTTTCTCGCCAAAACATGGCTGACCGCTCTAACCCGGGTCATTTCTCTGTCCACACACACATAGATGACCTTCAGCGGCTACAAGTTCATTCCGTACACCATCTCCAAGGACGGCACGACGGCAGTCTACGAGCGGACGGGCATCCCAAACGTGTCGGCTGCTCCCGCGGCGGCGGTCGACGCTCCGGCTGAAGCCACGCCTCTGCAGTGCAAGATACGCAAAATACTCAAGGATGTACAGATCGACGCGGGGTAGGTCACGCGCGGGCTGTGTGTGACTGTGGAGCAGGGAGGCTAGGTCACCTGCTTGCTGTGTGGGTGTTTTTGATCGCTCTCTAACACTGCCTCTTGAGCCTTATTTTTATCTCTCTCTCTCTCGCTTTTGCTTTCTCTACTCCTCTAACTCTCTCTCCCACTCTTTCATTCCCTCCTTCTATCTCTCGTTTCTTCTCTATCTATCTGTCTGGGGCCCGTTGTCAGAAACCAAATCAGTCTTAACATTAGTCTCAACTTTTTCTCTTAGACCGTCGACAGAAACGCTGCGAAGTTACCTGAATGAAAAATCGTAGCAGATTTCCTCATAACAATACGAAACAAATCGCTGTCGACGGTCTAGGAGAAAATGTTAGTGTTAAGACTAATGTTAAAACTAATTTTGTTTCTGACAATGGTCTCCTTATTTCTCTCTCTCTCTCTCTCTCTCTCTCTCTCTCTCTCTCTCTCTCTCTTTCTCTCTCTCTCTCTCTCTCTCTCTCTCTCTCTCTCTCTC